TTTGGGGTGCGACCGCTCCCCCCTTGCCCATGAGTCCTTCTAACCTGGCTTTTGCGAGCAGGGTTAGCAGGAAAGCCAGAAGAGCAGGACGGATGCTCAGGGAGCCCAATCCCACACTGTGCTGCTGCTGGCACTGAGACCCCACAGCAGACTCAGCCCTTGGATGTGGAGAGCCCGGAGGATGGGAAGGGAAGGGTAGAGGATATATTTTTTTTTCGCTTGGGAAGAAGCTGTGACCCAAAACAGTCAGAGCAAAGCAATATAGCCTTTGCTCCAGGACTCGTGCAGCTGGAGCTGGGCTTTTCCAGACACACTTCGACTGTCCAGAGGTGAGAGATGTGTCTGCTTTAAGACTTCCCCTGCATTCAGCAGACTCAATTCTAATTAAAATAATGATGGCCCAAACCTTGAAGGCTCTGAATGCAAACAGCTGGGAGAGGGGCTTACTTGGAGGGCTCCCCAAAAGGAGCCCATGCACCACCTGACCTTGGCACTGGCTGAGACACTCCAGCTAGGAGGAGCAGACCTCTGAGGCTGGTAGAGATGAAGGGCACCGCTCTCCTGTGTCCCTTCGCAGGTCCTCACGTCTCTCCCATTTGTCTCCCCACGCATCCCTATCCCGACATGTTCATGCTGACCACCCACAACCTGTTGGTCCATGGGAACCAGCACTGACCTGGTCCCTTCCAGCTGCAGAGAGCACCAGATGTGCTGGGCCCACACACCCGCCGAGCAACCGCAGGAGGAGACGGAGCTGCTATCATCCATCTCCCATAACACTTAAGGAAGAAGGAGATTTTAAAAGAAGAGCCAAGCTCATTTGAAGGGGGTTTTTGCTGACGCAAAGCCGACACAAGGGCACTGAGGGTGAAGGCATGGTGGGAGGTTAAGGAATCGGGGATACTCCCATGAACATGCCGTGCTGACCCTCTGGAGCAGATGCTCCCATCAGAACATGGTGTATTTTTTGAGCTGCAGGCAAGCAGCAATTGTGAGCAGCTAGGAAGCAGCGCAGAGAGGCCAAAGGCGTGCACCCACACGCACCCTCACATGCACATACAAAATCCCTTCTCAATCACCCCTATGTTTCCTTCAGAGTGCTTGAGCCATCCTGACTCCAGGCTGTTTATACAAGACACTTGACTCCTTTCCAAGACCCACTTCATTTGAAAGGGAAGCAAATGCCTGGGGGAAGTTTCCTCAAAGACACGCTGCTCCCCCCACCCAGTTGGAGGGGACTAGCACCTCCCAGGGCAATGCTTTTTTGTAAGAAAGAGAAACCCACTGAGTTGCAGGGAAGAGGTGAGACTGGTCCCTCCATGGTCTGGACAATACTTCTCAGGTTCAAAGCAGAGAGCTGGCAGCTGTTCGGTCAGTCCCAACCCAAACCTCCTTCGGAGGAGACGTGTTCAACAGATACTCAACCCGGAAGGCTGTTGGGGCTGAGGGGGGTGCAGGTTGGGCTGCAGGCAGCCCCCAGGCATGAGGATGTGGCAGCAAGGCTGAGATCCTGTAGTGGCATGAAGTTATCCCTGTGGGATGCCAGGTATGGCCATGGTGGCAGGTGCTTTCCTGGGAGATGTCTGAGACAGTGTTTCAGCCCTTGCAGCCACCTTAGAAGACCCACTTGCATCCTTTCCACTTCCCTGAAGCTCACAGGGAATAAAATAAGGCTCTGGGAGGAGAAAGGGGTTCTTCCAGCCTTGTGCTGAACCTGTAAAGCAGACAAGGATAAGGAAGCCAGAGCCAGGGGGTAAACCTGTCCTTGAGGTGGATGTTCTTGGGCTTAGAAGCTTTTGAGGTCAGAGGGAGGTTGCTGCTTTGTGGGCTGGATGTGTGCACTGGGAGCAGGCACAGTGCTGGTAGGCAGCAGGGGCTTGCCCTATCCCGTGTCACATACCGGGTCTGCTAAGCTGTATTCCCTTATCTCGTGTGTCTCCCTTTCCATATTGCTTGGTGCATTATCCTACATGTCACCACTGTCACTGGCCTTAACAAACAAGTACATGGAGGCTGGACTTTGGAAAAGCCTATTATGAAAGGTGGACTCTTTCCTAAGGTTTTGGGAGGGGATGCTGGGGGAGCATCCGTTGGTCACCAAGGCAGCCAATAAAACGCTTGGTAAGTTGGGTTAAATAAGAAAAACAAACAAACCTGAAGTGCCTGATGACCCCAGCATGCATGTGTTGGACATGGGTCAGAGTCAAGGGCAGGTAAAATAATTCAGGTTTCTTTTTATTTCAAGGGAGCGAACTGCCTCTATGGAGCATCCAGGATCCAGGAGACTCCTCCAGGTGGGAGACTGGCTCTGCTCTGTAGGGACCA